GTATATTAATTACCTCAAACAATAAGAACTCATAACGTTAACTGCGATTATTAACCATTGTAACTAGGAAATTACTTTTTAGCGTTCTTTGTTTAATTGTTGACTACTATTTTAATTTCACGTATTACTTGTTTTCACCGGAAGCTGACATGTTGCAATTACAGAATTCTATGAAGATACTAAATTAAACCTTTAGAGCACAATGGTAACTATATGTACCGCATGTATAATAGTAAATAGTTCCGTATTTTTTTAAAATAGAATGTATTTATTGGATTTGTATGATTCTAAAAAAAAAGTAATTTTCTTTAAACAATATTCAACAATTGAAGTTTTTCATGGGGCGAGTTTTCTGTTGCTTGAGGTAGGATACGAATTTTTAAATACCGGAATTATTTAAACAAAATTCGTGCTTCAAAGGACTAACTAAAACATCATTACTTTTTCATGCCGTATTATAATAGTAATTTTTTAAAAATTTTGTGAGATACGTTTAATATATAATAATTTACTATACTCCCAAAATGTAGTTTGATTTAAATAAACTAAAAACGATGTAGTGTCCAACATTATAGATGTATAATACATCAATCACATACCTTTCGAATGGCTTCAAGTCATTTCTATTCAGCTGTCTTGCTTCTTATTGCCGGGCTCCTACAAGTCAATTCAAAAAATAAAACGATAAATACGAAGAACCTTTAAAATTATGTTAAACGCAATATTCACATAATCAACGGCGACAGAAACACAGCAGTCTTTAAAAACTATAAATTTTAAAGTTAATTTGTAACTGTATTTAGATCATGAGATTTCAGGTTATCAACAGTGAAATTGCCGGTTGAGATGCCACGTGGTCTTTCAGGTGTTACCAGCGTGTTGGAAGCACGTGTCACGATCATTCGATCTACCCAGTTTAAATTATTAACCAAACGCAGAAAGTAAATTGATGTGGCAGTAAACATCTAGTTTGTATTCAGGCACTGGACATGTCGTCTAAAATCTTCGTACTTTTCCTCATTTTATCCAGGCTAATGCCTTGACAGCGCCTTCAAACAGACTATGGCTGGCTGATTTCTGATAATGGTCTACCGGCAAACCATTAATGATAACCTGATCTCAAATAAAGATCAATAGCACGTGCATCGAAAAAGCGCTTTTGGCATTGCTATTCAGATGATTTGATAAAGAAACTGACAGGTAAAATGTATAGTGATCAAAATCGAATTGTAGTCGTCCGATTAAAATAGCTGCAGTATCGCAGAAACCCTCGATTATTCAATACACTGTAATCTGGCAGTGGAGTTTGAAGCAAAGTACCGTTCTGTACAGTTTCAGAGACGGAGGTATAAAATATTTAAATACAGGTAAACGAAATTGCATTACAAACGATATACTATAAGCTGCATTCCACTGTCAAAATCCGTACAGAAGAAACATGGCTGTTTAGCGCATCTCCGAGGTGTCGTGTTAAAATGTCTAAACGGAGACTATTTATAGCAGCGCTGTAAATCTTCGCGGGGGACTCAGGATCCTCCAGAATAATTTTACGACTGCAACGAAGATACAAAGGGAAAGGATCCAAATCTTCAACCGAAGACTTTACTCTAATGATTTATTATAGAATTATATAACTTATGCAGCAGTTTGTTAAAATGCTATCACTTTAAATTACGCAGCGTATGTGACTCAGCGACCATCAAGACTTTGTTCAGAAGCCATCGCTTGAAGCGGTCCTTCGGTTACGGGACCGAGCTTACTTGGAAGTAAGCTATTTGCTGTGTCTGTATTTAAAGTCGAAACAAATACCAATATCGTCGAGATTATGAGAACATGTTTTGAGAGAAACAAGAGACAAACACAAGCGTCATCAACGAAATATTTGACGGTCTTATAGACTAGGCGTAATGAAGAAACTCTTCAAACGAAACAGACCGCCAGTGGCCACACCTGACAAGGTCATTCAGCTTGAAACAAAAGCAAATATCTAGAGATGCTGTGAATAAACGATCAGTCAACCTCGATCGGCGACGATCTAAGTGCTGGAGGCGGAGGGAGACGACCCCGATCGAACCACCGAATGGGGGCAGAGAAATAACAAAACACATTGTAGAACGTCGTTCCACACAAACTCGTTAACCAGAACCTTCGTTAGCAAATAGTAGGCCGTATAATCTATGCTTTATTATTTATTGTTCGCTAGATTTCGCCGAGTTTGTCTTCAAATAAATGGCAGGTCTACTAAAGTAATTTCTTGCACTTTATTGGTTATGATAAAGTTTGAAGTACATTTTCATTAAAGTTAAATATATATTCATTATCCAGCCCTCTCATATATTGATATGACCAAGCGTCGTATTATTGTTTCTGCGGATTGTGGTTTTTGGATTGTAACGCCGTGTGGTCTTTCTCCTAGTCGAAGGCAGCACGATCAAAAATACCATGATCCACGGAAACAACGATTCACGACAGCTTCTTCGGAACAATGACACATTTTATAACAGATTTCTTCCGTTGGTCTCTTGAGTTGATGTCACAGTCATGAAAATTGAATGTATAAAGTTAATCAGATTTCTAAAATGTTTTTCAGCATACAAAACATGTAAGCCTTCATTACGTAGCCTATAAGAAATATTTATCGTAATAACTTCTATTGGGGGGAGGGACCTGTATTTTGTCTAAATCGTCTTTTGGTTTAAAAAATGTTTTGAGGGATACTTTAAATTTCTTCGTCGTTATTTTAAAGGAGAATCTAAATTTTATAGTGCAAGTAAATTAGCTATAACAGCTGATGGTTCGTTCATTAATTCAACTGGAGGCTGGAATTCGCTTATACGTCGCAATAAGCAAAAGTCTTCTACCTGAAACTGTATTCAAAACCGGAACAGGCGCACTCATCCGGCATCTTGGATCGTAACTGAAATTAGAAACAGCCACGACCCTCCGCGTCACCGAACATCGTATCACTGAACAGAGGAACAGAGGAATATCACGGCCAATATCATGTTTCTGGATAACGACAATATGTCCTCCCGTACACGTCCTGAACTGGAATGCGTTCATCTATTGGCTCCTCGCCTTTGGCCAGTAACCGGTCTCGAACCTGAAATGGATGAAGTAAAATACAAAAAATTGATCTGCATTATTATTGCAGCTCAAGTAGGCAATCAGTGAGAAGAAAACCAAGAAACTGTGGTTGTATCAGCCATGTATGGAAGTGAAACAAGTATGACGTGAGACTATGGCGTAAGAATATTAGTACATATTTAAGAATAACAAATCCAGTAATTCAACATTTATAAATTGTGAATGGTTTATAAATATGCAAGGCTGAAAATCTAGTGTTCCCTTCCTGTGTTGAAGGAGAAAGGCTCACCTCTTCGACTTTTTTAAACACTCGAATGAGGTTCTTGCCCGCAAGTTTCTGCAGATCAGCCTCCGTCCACCGCCCGGAGCCAAGCAATTCGGCCAGAAGGTATGGATAGCGAGACACATCCTCCAGGCCAAGGGGTGTGCTGCAAACAAAGGTGTCAGCCACTTTCTGTCCCCTGCCTTTTACTGAACGTTTCGACACAAAAGGAGAAAGTTATCAGAGAAATGGGTGAAAATATACAATATAGCAAGGAGCATTATAATTTATATTATACCGATACCGTTAAAGGGATAAAATGAAAGCAGAATACCAACAGCGACATCTAATCCGCCATGAGAATCTCGAATAAAAATATTTAAAAATTCAGCGATTGTGTAATTTGGTCGGACTTTAAAATTCACGCTCAACATGCCATATAAATCCAAAGACAGCAGACACACATACATCTGGAATGGTAATAATATAGAAACCGTACATCGTCCTGGGTGTTTCGTCGCTTGAGGTTCCGATTTCAAATCTCGTTCTGTAGACTAATTTGACAGAGGCTTTTCGTAATTTTCCTCACTTAATCCGCGTAAACTAATTACCTTTAATAGGCCACGATCGCTTCCTTTTACAACCTTTATAATTCATCATTCACAGACATCCTTGAGTTTGAAGTTAAATAAATTAACCAGTTGAAATAAACTTTGTTATATAACTAACGACTCAGTCATTTAGCACCATGGGAATAACTTGCTTTCTTCAGCGAGGAAAGAAGTTAAAAATGTTCTGGGGAACAAGATGAGTCTTCTTCTTCTCCCCGTCCCCCTTAATACTGAAGTTATGTCAAGCATTGGCGTGTTTATAAACTTACTTTGTTTAAGCGCACTTTAGTTGACGCAAAGTGACGCTTCTAGGGACGGCTCGGCGCAGTTACAACAAACTGTGTTGTTCATCATTCATCATCTCGTCTCACGGATCATCAACCCCTTGGCCATGGTGCTGAAACGAGGTCATATGATTCCCACCCCTCCAGAACCCGACGGGCAAATTCGCCTTTGTAGTGAACCAACGTCGAAACCGATCTCATCATTTACTGCAGACCTACAGGGTAATTCCTCATCCGCGATTTTTAATCTCCCAAGCTGCAGTGTTACAAAAGAGATACAGAGTGTGAGATATGAGGTTCTCACTGCGGTGAAGATGATAATACTGTTCTTCTGGGTTGTGATGATTTGGACTCGTAAGCAGATAACAAAATTTCGTAGTCCACGTGGCTTAACAACCCAGAATATCGTCAGAGATTCAAAAAATAACACTTATACAACAACGATTGACTAACAGTCACACATCGTCCACTGTCTGTGATAATAATCAGGACCTTGAAGATGGAATCAGGAAGTATATCCGAAACGTACAATTATAAGGCACAGTCAGCTAGATACAGGATCTATAATATGTACACTCTTTATGATAAATATCAGAGAAGGAAAAACGGCAAGAATTAGAAGGAAAACTAGAGAAATAAGAAAGTGGAGAAAGCGCAAAAGAAATGCGGAAAAACCGTAAAATAAAATAAAATAAAGAGTTAACGGACGAATGGTAGATGGATAGAGAAAGCGGATAGCAGAAAATAGATAATTTCTTAGAAAGGAACCTATTTATCACTGAAGAGTTTTTAAGGTGCCTAATTAATCAATAATATGTGAAAATGCTTTTGATAGAAGTTGTCGTGGCACATAAAAGGCGCTATCATCCCAATTTCTTGAGTACATATGACATGCAAACGTCTCCCGGCTGAGATTCGAAATAGGAACCACCTAAACACAAGGGTAGAGCTTTACCACTGCGTTAGCATATTTGTCATTCCTTCAGACAATTAACTGTTGCAGTGGATAACATTAATCACATATCGCTGTCTTAAAAACGCAAAATGCACGATGATATTCAAAGCAGTTCTATTACCTTATAAGAGCAAGGAAATTTTGGTAGCTATCTGTAACAGCTTTGAGAATTATTAGGAACAGAAAGACGTACAGTCCCAATGGTCACGATGTATGTGTACATCGTTCCTCACTTTAAGTGTACCAATGTCTACGCAACAATTTAAATTAAGTGCGACAGGAAATTACAGACTTTGTTCAAGTAATTTCCCCAGAGATACGGAGCTTAGAAACACTCACAGACGAATAAGAGTGAGGCCGAAGTGGCATGTATCTCATGTACGATAAGACTGTTGATTTATTCTAAGATTAGCAAAATACGTTCAGGATCATCTCAACTAGACAGACAAAGTTTCCTTTATAAACTGGGTCTCTAGACAATTTGTTATGTTTAGATATTAACTCTACTCCTTTATTGAGTAGCTGACAGTCGTTTACCTGGCCACAAACTTACCGTGTTTTAAGAACCCGAAGGTTCATTATTGTCTTCAAAATATCTTTCCGCTAGATTCTGTAACGAAGTAGTTAAATCTAGTTCTTATTCAATTTCTTTTCAAAATAAATTTCTCCATTATCCTCTCATATACGCTAAGACTTCTCGAGCAGTCCTTTCGCCCACTTCCTTAGTTTTTTCTGAGTCCGAAATCAGCAGTTTGCATTGATATTGCAGCAGCATTGTCCTAGACCTACATTCGGGTGTCAAACTTTTCGAATCTCGACTCGATTATCTGACATCCGGATCGACATTTTTAGCGATTGCTTCGATCCAGGCGATTGTTGGGGCAGAATTTTAAAATTAGGCCATATCTTTCGATGCTATTTTGTTTTGAAAATGATACGTCTTTTTTATGTAAGCGAGTAATAACGCTCGTAAATTCACAGTCACTTTAATTCGCATCCATTTAAAAAACTTTTGTCTAATCTACGCCTCATCGCACAAAAACGTTTTTAAAAGAAATTTTTT